ATGAGTTTTAAAATAACTACTCTTTGCCGCGTACTGTGCTTTACATATATTATTATAAGTCCCCTTTGGGTAACTCCTATGGTATAACTATATTGTTCCCATTTTAAAGATAAACTGAGAAAAAAAGAGATTAAAGAAGGCAGGTGTGGGCGCCTGGATGGCTCAGTCAGTTAAGCATCCGACTTCGCCTCAGGTCACGATATCATTAGTTCATGAGTTCAAACCCTGTGTTGGCTCTGTGCTGACAGCTCAGAGCAATGGCCCGCTTAGGATTCTGTGTCTCCCTCTCCCTCTGCCCCTCCCCTGTTTGTGCTCCATCTCTCTCTCTCAAAAACAAATAAACATTAAATAACTTAAAGATAAACTGAGGCTCACAAAGATTAAGAAATTTTGTTAAGTATCATGTGCAGGAAAATGGTATCAAATAAGATTTGAATTTAGTATCTTTTTATTTCAGAACTCATTTCACTCAGCTGTCTTCAAAAGTGATTTTCATTTGTCTCCTGGCATATTAAGATTATAGAACAGTTTTGGGGCGCCTGGGTGGCTTAGTTGGTTAAGCGTCTGACTTTCACTTAGGTCATGATCTCGCAGTTTGTGGGTTCGAGCCTCGCGTCGGGCTCTGTGCTGACTGCCAGCTCAGAGCCTGGAGCCCATTTTGGAGTCTGTGACTCCCTCTCTCTCTGACCCTCCCCTGCTCACGCTGTCTCTCTCTCTCTCTCCTAGAAATAAATAAAACATTAAAAAAAATTAAAAAACATTATAGAACAGTTTTTTTTAAGCCTCCAGATAAAATAAGAGATGATCTCTATGTTAGCATTATTAGTGATGGTTCTCATTCCTCTTTCCCTTTGTCCTTTGCATCCAGGTTCAATTCCTAGATTACCTTCTGTGTCCCAATAATTTCTACTGTGTCTCTCCTTCCTTCTCTGTAGATCGTAGAAATAACTCCAAATGCCTTGACTTCCAAAGCTTTATGAAGAAAACTTACTTTGACTGGCTTCATTTGTATATCAAATACAGTTTGTGTTCTTCCTCAATCAAATAGAAGAATTAAGCAGAGACATTTACACGGTGTTAAACCTGAGCACTCATTTGTAATTTCTAGTAAATGGTTTTGTTCTGTGCAGGTGAAGAAAAAATGGAATTCATTTTCTTAAGGGCTCAACATTGAAAGCTTATTTTTTTGAATCTTTTTAAAAGTGTGTATATCATAGTATTGTTTTAATTCTTACTTTACAAGCATTCTTTTCTTCCTTCCCATGAAAAATAAAATCTCTTAGGGAATAACATTTTTTTTCTTTCCTTAAGTTATAAACATAGATATATTCTGGAAGGTCAGGTATTCTTTCTTCTACTTATTAAAATTATTCTCTCCTTAGGAATGCCAGTAGATGACCACTTTTAAGTAAGGAACAAATGTGAACCTGTGCAACCAATTCATTTAGTTAATAATTCACAAAATGTAAAGTTCATACTGCATATCATAGTGATGTAAAGCTGAAAATGTTGTCTTCTATCAAAGGTTGCCACAAACTTTTATCCTGATCTTTGGCATATATCCATGTGTTTCAACTATTTCGTAAAGAAAACATATAATTTGTCATTTAAAAGAAATATTGCATTTTATTTTTTCTTTAATAATGTATTTTTGGGTGTTTTCATCCATCCCTGAGGAATAGGCTATTAGTAGAGGGAAATAGATATGGGACTTCTTCTTAATCAAGATTGATACAATTCGCCTTTATTTACTGGTCAAGGTTGGTAGTCTGCATTCATGAACAATCTGTTAGGCCATCTGGTAGTCATGGCTACAGTTAGGGGGAAAAAATATTGAAGAGTGTACCCTGGGAATCCTTCTTATTGTTCATTGGCTGGCCTCCTGGCTGAATTAGAATACCAGAGATTGATTATTTATTAGATTTACTCTACATTTCCATTGTGCAAACCTCTAGCTACACCTGGCAATATTCATTTGTAGAATTTTCCAAGCTTAAATTTGAGTTGCAGAAGAAAAATATAAACCACGTCCATCATAATTAGCTTTTTTTGGGGGGGGGGGCACTCAACAAAGCTTCAGCCTCATTTTCTGAAAACAAATGTAGTGGTTTTAAAGTTATTACCCCAGGGCCAGTAGTGAATTGATCCACAATGAGGAAAAGAAAATTAAGAGGGTGATGAGGTGAATTGAGGATCATATTCTTTTTGCTGACTAATCTTTGCCTTGGTTTTTCCAAATCTTGTATCTGCATTGGATCTTTGATGTCAAACATATGTTAGTCACTTCATAAATATTTGTTGTTTATACACATTTTGTGTTTTATTGTTTTTCTGTGTATATCAGATCCATGAAGCTTAGAATATTTGGAGCCACAAATGTAAATGTAGGTACAATGAGAAAACAGTGAAGAATGCTGCTTGATGAAGAAGAAAGAAAAAATTGGAAGGGGCAAGCCAGTTTACTAGTATTGGCTTTATATACAGCCCATTATGTGAATGTAGTTAAGTCAGTTAACACTAACATTGACCTTCTCATCCATTGGCAGCAATAGGATACTGGCTACACCACACAAAAATGAGGTAAATTTCTATGTCTATAAAATCTGAACACAATCCAAGATAACAAAACAAACAAAAACAAAACCATAAAATATAATGGAATCAACCATAAGGTCACCCCTGAGAGCCCAAGAATTAAAATCCCTTTATTACAAGCTGAAGTTTTTACCATATATTTTTACTAGAATCTCCTTGTGTAGGCTTCTAGGATACCATTATATTAAGACAGCAGAGAAGTATAAAAATGAGAGAACCTCCAGAAATCAAATCATCCTTGTAGTTGTCATGAATTCTAGGATAGAGTTTTTATCAGTTATGATCAAATAAGTTGGACAGGTCATATAACAAGTTAGAACTTGCCAAAAAATTTTTTATAGAAGAAACAGATGTCATCTTCTGTTGTAAACTATATCCTGAGAATATCCCACCCTGACTACTTTATAGCATATATGAACTCCCACTCCACCCCCTTTTCCCCTTCTCAAGTAAGCCAACCTACCAGGCTGTGTATTTTTAATAGCTTTCTATAGCAATCAGGAATTTGCCATCAGAGAAACTGTTTCACTGCTTCTTATCTTTGGATGCCTGTTCTTGTCAAACAGATTTTAGATAAGAACAACTGGCAGTAAGTGCCCTTCCTGAAAACAAAGGTCAAAAGCCTTGATATCTAAGCCCAAGTGCATTGTTCTGGAAAGCCTTTCAAATCTTAGTCATATTCAGATTCCAAATACAATGTTTCCTTTTTTTCTGGAAGTTTCAAAGTTTTTAGAAATAGTTCTAATGGAAAAACTATTTCAATCCTATATAAATCTATGAACCAATGACTAAAATGTACCTCGTTTTTTTTTTTTTTTAATGTTAGTCATGAGAAACAGCATTTTCAACTGAAAAGGAAACTAAGGAAAAGACCTTTGAGGTTAGGGCCTTGTTTGTGAAAGGACTATGGAAGAAAAAGTTTAGGGCTCACTTTCTGATCATATTTGCAATAGCAGAGGATGAACCATCTATATGACCTGTCAGAATGGCTTCAGATCAGTTCTTCCTGATTTTAAATGGAATTCTACATTAGATGTTGCTGAGGAAGACTGTCACGCCATTTTTAGGTGATTATTTTGTTTCTGTATTACACCAAACTTATTGGAAAGTATGACCTAGAATGTGCCAAGGAAGATTTGGAAGGTGACATGACTGACTGTGTCAGTCCCCGAGTATGAAATAGAAAAGGGCTGTTGACTGGGTTAACCAGACTCTGCCCTTGGTTAAACTGCATGGTATCACATCAAAGGCCACAGATCCATTTGAACAGGTGCTTTTAAAAATTGTATTGAATAACCTCTGTGCCACTTTAGGTTTTGAATGGTCTACGTAACTGCACAAAATGAGTGAATGTAAGAAAAATGAACTGACAGGTGAAGCCTGTCTGGTAAGGAATCCATGATCCTGAAGTGATTGTAGCTTTTCAAAAGATTTAGTGGCTGCTTTACATTAAATGTTCTATGTGGCCGAACGAAGTTCCATGAAGATTCTGTCCGCTTTCTTCTCAATATCAGATCCTGCTTGTTGTGATAATGTTTTCATTAGATGTTTTCAGAGTTATTTTCCTTCTCAAATGAATTTTTAATTTATTTGTTTACCAGTGACTATTTCATAAGGATAAGGGCATTATCTGTTCTCGTCTTCTCTTTCCTACTCCATGAAATAATTTTTTTCCTTCCAATTGTGTATGACACAGCTACAATTAGGGAAGATGTCAGTTATAGGATATTGTCTTATATTCAGAGCCCTACTAGTAAAAGTGTGTGATTGGGAGGGGAAAAAAAAAAAAAAGGAGGTTGGGGAGATATGACTCTTCCTCCCCCTCACCAGGATGCTAAGAATTTAGATAAGGAACAAACCCAGAAAATAATTAAACAGATAGGAGTTAAATAAGCTCTGTGACGTTGAAGTAAAAGGGAATAAAACATGTAGAGCAGGGCTGAGCTCTTCAGTCTAGTGAAGGATGCCTTAAGTAGGAAGTAGGACTTAAAAATGGGCAGGGTTTAGAAATAAGGAGCGTCTTTCCAGAAATGAGAATGGATGGACACTGGCATAATCTAACAAGACTAGGTTCATTATATGAGGATCTCCTACCAACTTTGATTGCAACGTAACCAGTATGTGTTGCCATATATGCTACGGGGCAACCATTCAGTATGTAAAAATGTTTGGTGAAAATTTTGTCTTAGTTTCAAAAGTTAACTACCTGCCAGGTGATTATTGCCAGAGAAAATGCAGAAGATGAGACATTACCATGAAATGAATGAGTACAAAAAGTCATTTGAAGACGAGAATTAAAAAGTACTAAATAAAATACATTTCTTTTATAGTTTACTCTACAAGGGTTGTAATTACTTGGCCAGAATGCAGAAAGATATGTTTTGTGTGGATTTTACCAGACTTACTTTTTAATAATACACCAATAATTGCCATCCATGTCACTTTCTTACAATCTGATGTTGACGTTCCTCTTTTGAGAGCTGGCATCTTTCTTCCTTTCCCTAGGTTATGGTCCAACCTTAGTGAGTTGCTTCAATCCAATGGAATGCAACAGAAATAACCTAGAAGTCTAGGTCATAAGAGGAGATAGAACTTTTTCTCTTACGACACCTGATCTCGGAACTCAGCCACCATGCTGGGAGATAGGGCAACCTAGCCTGTGTAGAGAAATCACATGGAGAGGCTCACACAGAGAGGAGCTGGAGATCTAGTTAACATTTAGCATCAGTCCCCAAATGTGGGGCTGAAGGAGTCTCGGAATGATTCTAGCCCAGAGCCTGCAGCTTGAGTCTTCCTCCTGAGGCCCCAGTCGTCATGGAGAACAGACTAGCCATTCCCTCTGTGCTTCATCTGAATTCCTGACCCACAGAATCCAACAGCAGAACACCACTAATTTATTAAGTTGTCACATAGCCATAGTAACTGAAAAATATGCCAATCAGGTTTTCGTATCTTAATTTATACTGACTCCAGCTATTCACTTAAGCGTTTCTCTTTAATATATGAATAACTTCACTTATTTTTTTTGGACATTACAAAAGATAACTTTCTTTTTATTTTGTTATTTTTTTTCTTAAATAGTTTATTGTCAAGTTGGTTTCCCTGTAACACCCAGTGCTCATCCCCACAAGTGCCCTCCTCCATGCCCATCACCCCCTTTCCCCTCCCCCCAACCCCCATCAGCCCTTAGTTTGTTCTCGGTATTCAAGAGTCTCTCATGGTTTGCCTCCCTCCCTCTCCCCAACTATTTTTCCCCTTCTTCTCCCCCATGGACCTCTGTTAAGTTCCTCCTAATCCACCTATACGTGAAAACGTATTGTATTTGTCCTTCTCTGCCCGACTTATTTCGCTCCTCATAACACCCACAAGTTCCATCCATGTTGCTACACATGGCCAGATTTCATTCTTTCTCATTGCCATGTAGTATTCCATTGTATAAAGATACCACATCTTCTTGATCCATTTGTCAGTTGATGGACACTTAGGTTCTTTCTATGATTTGGCTATTGTTGAGAGTGCTGCTGTGAACATTGGGGTACATGTGCCCCTATGCAGCAGCACTCCTGTATCCCTTGGGTAAATTCCTAGCAGTGCTATTGCTGGGTCATAGGGGAGTTCTATTGTTAATATTTTGAGGAACCTCCACACTGTGTTCCAGAGGGGCTGCATCAGTTGACATTCCCACCAACAGTGTAGGAGGGTGCCCGTTTCTCCACATCCTCGCCAGCATCTAGAGTCTCCTGATTTGTTCATTTTTGCCACCCTGATCGGCGTGAGGTGGTATCTCAGTGTGGTTTTGATTTGTATTTCCCTGATGAGGAGAGATGCTGAGCATCTTTTCATGTGTCTATTGGCCATCTGGATGTCCTCTTTGGAGAAGCGTCTGTTCATGTCTTTTGCCCATTTCTTCACTGGATTATTTGTTTTTCTGGTGTGGAGTGTGAGGAGTCCCTTATAGATTTTGGTTACTAGCCCTTTATTTGATATGTCATTTGCAAGTATCTTGTCCCATCCCGTCAGTTGCTTATTAGTTTTATGGATTGTTTCCTTTGCCGTGCAGAAGCTTTTTATCTTGATGAGGTCCCAATCATTTATTTTTGCTCTTGATTCCCTTGCTTTTGGGGATGTGTCAAGTAAGAAGTTGCTGCGGTGGAGGTCAAGGAGGTTGTTTCCTGCTTTCTTGTCTAGGGTTTTGATGGTTCCTTGTCTCACATTCAAGTCCTTATCCATTTTGACTTTATTTTTGTGTATGGTGTGATCTAGTTTCATTCTTCTGCATGTTGTTGTCCAGTTCTCCCAGCATCATCTGTTAAAGAGGCTGTCTTTTTTCCATTAGATACTCTTTTCCAGCTTTTTCAAAGATCAGTTGGCCATACATTTGTGGGTCCAATTCTGAGTTCTCTATTCTATTCCATTGGTCTATGTGTCTGTTTTTGTGCCAGAATAACCTCACTTTCAAAATATCTGTCTACACTTCTAAAAACTCATTTTTCAAAATAGTGAGCTAATCATTTTGTCAAATTTAAGAAAAATTTTAAAACTCACCTGTGTCTCCAGTATGTGGCATAATTTCTTTGATTTTGTTAAGTACTCAAAAAAAAAAGTAAATGAATTAATCAGTCTTCTCAGAGTCTGCTGACTAGAGACCTTTTTTCTCCATTTCTAGCACCAAAGTTTCCATAAGCGTTAGCAGAAAATGGAGGTACTGCCTAAAATTAAAAAAAATTATTTTGTGAGGGAGAGTCTCATTATCCCATTCAGTGACTGCACTATAAAATAAATAAAGTTTTTATCTATTGGTGAAGATTATACGTATATAATTTTTAATATAGGTGATTACATTTTCTATCACTGAATCTGTCCATGGTGTATGTTACTGTTATTGAGGACCTAATGGGAAAGTATATCATGATAGAATCTCTGAAAAAAATCTTTTAAAATGTTTTCCTATTGAAGTTTATTTTATGAGTTTGAAAATTGATAAAGATTAATTAAGCTGTTGAACACTATCCAGGAGAAACTTACATGTTTATAACAGCCCAATGGAAACAAATATATTTCTACCTCCATAGGAAATCAGACCAAGAAGGAGTATCCTAAATATTTCCTACTTCATTTGAACAATGTTCACTATTTTAAATACACAATTTTACTTTTATTTTAAAAAATTTGTTGTAGAAAAGCCTTGACATCCTCAGCATGTCTATAAAATGATAGGGACACTCTGTGGGGCTATAAGGAAGAATGACCTAGGTTGTAACATACATGTGAAGACAAGAGATCAAATCATCTATGTGTGACATGATATCTAGGCTCCTGATATCAAGTTATTTACTATATTGTTTACATGACTCCGTGGAATGATCAGAGCAAACCATCACTGTATCCATTCCTCCAGTATTTTTCCCTCTTTTCTTCATCCTTCTCATTATTAACCCAGACAGAAATTTGTCAAGAATATGTTCGTTGCAAGATAATCAAATGCCTCACTGAAAAATGTTAATTCTTGTTTGGGCAACATTTATTCATTCCAGCAAATATCTGTGCTCTTTTAAAGAGGAATAAAGAGAGTTCTTACTTTGAAAAGTATAAAGTGTAGAAGACAAAGACATGAACTGAGTTTAGAACAGGGAGCTTCAGGAGCCAATACAGGAAAATTAAATTCAATGGAGATCACAGAGAGAGTTAACTTGTGATATAAGTCTTGAAGGAAGATGAGAAGTTTGTGATATGAAGTGGAGACCTGGGGGTTATTTGTATTAAGATGCCTTTCATTGCTTCCACACTGCATTGCCTTTTAAGAATGCTGTGACCTTGCTCAAGGTCCTATTAGTGCCCTGTGATTCTGGAACCTTGACCGCAGCCACCTCAAACACAGTAAATAGTTTACAGAGACGCAGTCTGGTTTCAGCTACTAATCAGAGTCTCTTTGGTAAGATTTTGAAGTAGGAGACACAGAGATTAAGAGTTATAGAGCAGTTATATGCTGAAGCTTTTAAGATCATGTACACTTGGGGTTGTTAGCCATTGTGGACTTCATACAAGAAGGAGAAGTGGGTCTACAGAGAAGAATAATGGGACAGTGCTATTATTTTTTAATGTTTATTTATTTTTGCGAAAGAGTAGTGGTGGGAGTGGGGTAGGGAGAGAATCCCAAGCAGGCTCTGTGAGGGCAGAATGGAACCTGACTCAGGGTTTGATCCCATGAATCATGAGATCATGATCTGAACCAAAATCAAGAGTCAGCCACTTAACCTACTAAGCTTCCCCAGGCACCCTTGGACAGTCTTTTTTTAAGAGAACACATGGCCCCAGGGAGTGACAGCCAAGTTCCCACAGCCTTGACTATCTGTCTTGCTCTTTATTGCCCTCTGAATCCTTCCCTTTACAGAGAACTAGTTTGACTGGCTTCTCAATCTTAAAACCAAAGAATTTCTAAGGCTGCAGTAAGGGAAAATGTACGGAATGAAATAGTGACTCGACAGGCTGGTAGGTCTGGGGAACTCTTAAGTTCATTTACCTACAAGAAAGTATTGGTTCCTACCATGGGCTATACAGTGTGCTAGATGGTAAAGCTACCATAATGCATGTCAGAATCTTTGACTTCGAAGAGGCCAAATTGGGTCATAGACAAGTACAGTCAGTGTTACGGTGGGAAGAAATGACATATGGACATAAGTTTGGTTTTACCCTCTGGGCTAAGGAATTTAGACTTATTTCTGTAGTCCGTGCATTTTCACTGGGGGCATATCATGGCCAAGAGGCTGAAAATGGACACTTAATGGAGGAAATCATGATGTCCTAGATGTTACAGTGGTTAATCAACATGTCTAACATCAACCCTACCTGACCAAATATTTTTTTCATAATACTGATTTTTCTCCTGTACATAGTTTTCCTGTATCCGGATGATTCATTTTAGTAGAGTTAATTTTGGGAGCTGTGGCTATGGTTGTGACAGAACTGATAGCCTGTTCTGGTGGCTGCTGTCATGTACAAGCAAATCACTGTAACATGTTAAGGCCTTTCAGTACATGGCAGGATAGGAGCATTTCATCGCAGTAGAAAGGATCCAGCCTTTTTAGAGATACTTAAGCTAAACTTTGTTAGTTGTAGACCTCATCTATGAAAATGTCTCTATAGCTTCCTCTTTTCTTAGGGTATGATTACCTCTTTAAGAGTATTTCTCTAAACCAGAAATGTCATGGTGAAATAATGTATTTCCCCCAGATTTATTCTTTTTGTCTAGAAAAACCAGTAGATTAAGTTGTTAGTGAAACAGTTTGAAGTAGCTGATGGTTTATCACCTAAAAACACACATATTCCAGGAAGAGAGAAAGGAGACATTAAGCTTAATTTTGATTTGATCTTTTCCTTTGTGTGACAGCAACTTGAAAATCTTTCTTGTTTGCAGGATCAAATATCCTATGTTTCTAGAGACACAACTTCCCCTTCTGAGGAAATCAAGCTATCGTATTTGTTTTTGTCACTTAGTTAAGGCACATTTATGCATCATT